TTTTTCTTTTACTTAGCAAAGGTTTTGGCATGAAACGGCACTCCACGTTAGTATTGTGCGTTTTAGAGGTTATAAAATTATGATTTTTGGGTAGACAATATACTGGTACATTAATTACTTACACGTCGAATCACAGTTCTGACCCCAAGAGACTAATCTGAGCTACCTGACAAGAGTCTCTATGCAGTCCACTCGCGTACAAGTGTCGACACTTACCGATTAACTTGTGTGATTCTTAATATGACCAAATTATTTGTAAATTGGACTTTATAGTCCAATGTGCTAATTAGTGCAAACACGAAAATAACCGCCACACCCTTTACAAAGAAATCCTATTGATGTTGTAGCAGGTCCGTCACCATCTCTCCTCTTGTGGACGCACGTACAAATGTCTTTACACTAATTCACACGTGAGCAGAGCACACATCTGATGTATTATGTGAGCTAATAGTCTTACATATTCTGTCTAACGAGGTACAACATTTTAATTCTATCATAACATAATACAAGTAAACATTACAATAGATATAGACCATTATGATTTCACAATAATAGTCCGTTGATTATATACTATGTATATCTATTATTACTATTATTATTATTCATTTTATTTGTCTACGGTATGACACGCGACGAGCGATAGGAGGGGACAAGAGGATTATGTCTGCCAGAGTCCTTTATCCTTATAACACTATTATCAAGAAACTAAAACATTACGTTGCAATTTTTTTGTTTTTTTTTTAAACAGCTCTGTAAGCTAGTAATGTTTAGTTGACTGTATAAACGTCGGGCAACATATAACAATTATAACGACTAATACCGCTCATGTCGATTCTTTCTGAAGTTTTCAGGATAGAGTTTTTTATCTGATCAAGGAGTATGTTCATTTTTTTTTTCCTTAAATATTGTCGTTTTGTGCCCTAGTTGGCAACCTCGCCTGAGTTTGCCCCGGGCTCAAGCGTGCGAGCCTGTCCAATTGAACGCAGCCACAGAGGCAGAGACACGTGCCTCCTATCGACGAAAGTACGCCGCACGTTCGTTCCTCCGTTACTTCGGACACGTAACGCTGCACAATACGCTACGGGCGCTCTATTACGTACGTTATGAGTCGGAAATCGAGCTTATACGTCCCCAACATTTAGGACCGTCGATTTTGTTTGATTATGAACTTAGGTCTATCCATCGAAACAAGCAGATCTCATTCTGTGAGTTACTTTGACACTTAGTGTACCACAATAGTCTTGAATGAAAGAACACTGTCGTCACCTAACAATGTACGTAAACAAGAAACTGTAGAACACTCTCGGAGTAACATCTTATTCGGTCAAATCATGACGAGACTTGACCGAAATTTATGTGTACTTCTTGTGTTTAAGAAGCGAGGTACCTCTTTAGTTACTTCTAATTAGTTGTTTTGGACGCAGCGTATGATCTGACAGTTATGTCCTTAACGATGTCTATTAGACGACTGAGAATAACAAGTTTTGCATCGAAGGACGTGTAAATAGTGGTAACTACTTGGTTGCTTTCTTAAGCAAACATTATCACGAAACCTTAGTACTGTGCACGCTTATCGGAACAGTATAACTCTTATAGTTCACAGAATGGGGTGACTACAATCACTGTAACAGATTACTGCTGGAACCGTCGTCACAGTCTCACAGAGAGACGCTTAATGCTACGAGTACACCTAGACCAAATGAGTCCATGCAGTTCCACTCGACTACAAAGTAGTCTACACTTGACTCATTGTTGTGACGTCACATGAAAGCGTGAAAATTGGACTGCTAGAGTCCACTATGTCAGACCTGTGAGAGTGCATAAACGCACGAAAGAACGATAAGATTATAAACAGATTTATGTATCCGTATAGAACTCCCAGAATCGACATACGGTATTCGTCAACGAGGTACAATTTTATTCTTATCAGACGCATAATAAGTCAACTAAAACATTACATAGGTATTGACCATATGACTGTACATAATAAACATATACCATAAGCTTTTATTATCTGAAATAGTATTATAAGTGATGCCCACGAGACTCTGTCAGAGGTGGACAGGGTTATATATGTTAATTGTGGTGTGCGTCTTATTCTTCGTAGTGTTGATGGATTATGATTCTGTGATTTATGACTATTATGTAAAGTGATATGTGTCCGTTCATTTTATTACAAATTGATAATTTATTATATAATCGAGGTTGTGATGGTTATTATGATATTGATATACTATATAATTTGGTGTAATAACGTAAGTAGATATTTATTTTATGAGTCAAGATTAAATTGTTATAAAGACTGAAAATGCTCTATGGTAAAAAAAAAGTGGGGCAAAGAAGAGTACTAGACCCAGAGGCACCCATTGCCGGAGGACGGGACATGGTACCATTGTAGAGGAGGGCAGAGGTCGACGTGATGACGCAGCGGGTTTCTGTAGTCGCTCCTGCGTTGCACTAGGACTACCTGCGTCGCCACAGGTGCCGCCTGCGGCAGTACTACCGCAGCGCACAACGAGACCACACACAATTGAAAAGTAGTGAGGGCCTGTGCCTCTCAGGACTCACTCCTTTGTTATATGAGAAATTTGAGTTTGTCGCCCTTCTGCTCCCAGCTCTCGCACAGGCCATTGCCTGCCAAGGACGACACGAACCCCGAAAACATGAAAGTAATTGTAGAGTGTACAGTGAACAATCTGAACAATGGTTTCGCTACAAATGTATGTAAGTTTATGACTCAGGTTAGGGGTGTCCTCGTGAAACCCCACTTCACAGAGTCCCTGTGTTGCTGTACGACTGACGTCACCCAAACTTGGATTACGAGAGGTACTAGCTCCTCCGCACCACCGCGTCACCTGATCACACAACCACAAACCTAGTCCCCCAGTGTCGTCCAAGTTTGGGGTGACGTCAGTCGTACAGCACCAGGGGACTCGTGAAGTGGGTTTCACAGGACACCCCTGAAACAGGAGTGCTCAAACTCATGCATCATCTCAACGAAACCTGTTTGCAGAATGTTCACTGTACATTTACATTAGACTTCTAGTTGCGGATTGGGTGACTGGTGTCGGAGAGTATCATGCTATTACTATATGCATAGCAGGGGCATTCCTTTAGACAAGACGTCAATGGAGGTAGTATGTACATGTGTTTCGTATCAAGTGTAAGTTATGTAATTGTAATAATAGTGAGTATGTGTCTGCGTGATGCTGGGACAACGTGGAGGGAGTGGCCGGCCGTAACTTTGTACTTGTAATGTCACACTCACAATTCTTCCGAATTACCTGTCTCCGCCTCCGCTGACGAGATATCGGCCAAAGTCTTTAGAGGATGCTCTCCCTCGTCGACCCCCAGGCCCACCTCTTAGTCTGTGGTAGCGACACCAGGACAGATTATCTCTACCTACAAAAACCTGCGTGGTAGTATAAGTACCGTCAGAAAGAAACCGAACCACGGACCAATTGACGTAAATACTCATAAAAACGTTCCTATCTTTACTTCTTGAAAAAACTATACGGCCGCTCAATTACAATACGTCAATAGTTAGACCCGTAGATTTCTTTACAAGGGTCACACGGTCTACAAGGTTTTTTATTATATTATTCAAAGGTACAGACCCAGTCAGAATGTGCAGATTAAACTTACCTTGTCTGTCCACCCTTCCTATCTCTTAAATTCGACGTATCTATGTATTTAGTCTAGTCCTTTAGGGGTGTCTTTCCTTTACTCGCAATTGATTCTTCGTTTTATTCATTTTTATTTCATCCTTGTGTAAAGTTTATGTGTACGCACTATTTACAAGACGCTACCATCCAATCCTTACTTCGGACATATTTTCTCCGAGACTTCCTACACACTGGTGTGGCGGAGACCATTTACTAGGATATCCTCTATCTCTCTCTCTTCCTTCCAAACCACCTGTTTCAATCATTTTATTGTGGACTCAAATATAACACGTCGGACTCTTTGTCACGATGACTCCGTTTCTCGGTTCACCAAAGCAGGACAGGAAGGAAGGAAGTCTATCTTTCTCCTTTGTATTGAGTCGGTACTGAACTCCTACGCACGAAAGACGTTGTCCTTCGTTACTGAAGGACTGTGAAGGTAAGTACACGACGAACGACACAGGAGTCTCTCCCCACATGTAAAAGGGAGAAACCGGTTCAAATTAACCTTTTTTTTTTTATTTTTTTTTTAGTAACTTTTCGTTAATTTTTTTTTTTTTTTTGTTTTTTTTTACAGGCATTAAGCCGGCTACCAGGTTTTTCGTAAGTAATTTTCGGTTCCTTGCCTTTAAAGTGGAAACTTTTTTTTTTATCGTAAAATTTTTTCCTTAGGTGTTTGAACTCTGTTAAATGTATTTGACATTGTGTTCATACCGAAAAGCAAAACAAAACGTTCCGGTGCGCGGTAAAAATGTGCGTAAAGGTTCCTTGTGATCTGTCGCTATAGGGAAAAAGTAATTATTGATGTGCCCTCAGTAAATTCTTTGTTTTGTTTCAAGAACCAATGAGTGCAATTCCTATTTTTTGCAAAGTTGCGTATTTTGCAATTTTCAATTTTTTTTTTGTCTTGTTATGTGTTGTGGTGATAAATAATCTGAAGTCTATAGTTTATGAACATTAAGAGTCATTCATATTTTTATTTTAGTAGCATTTCGTTGATATGATTGGTCTAAGTGTGCGAGGCAGGTTTGTTTGGTTAATCTTTCATTATTTCTCAGGGCGAATTATTTTGTGTTCTTTTCGATGTGTTTTTAAGCATTTCAGACAGATTTACTAAACTGTTATTCTAAAATGAGGTTTTTAAATGTGAAAACAATGATGTAACATCCACTCTGTCAAAGAAAGTAAGTTCTGATAACACCATGTGATTCACAGTTTGATTTGAAGTGTCCTTACTCTAGGAACAAAGTTACTATCTGGATTCATTATTTGTTTTTTTAGCTGCCAGGATTTACAACCCCCTGTTATTTCGGCCAAGCTGAGTGTTGCATGCATATCTCAGCGGGCATGCATAACACGGCGTAACACCGGCTTCATCACTCTGCTGCAGCCGGAAAAAGGAGCTTTCCTCCGGGCACAGAGAGACGGAGACACGGCGCACGGTTACCTGTCCGAGCGGGACGAGACTCGGCCCGTGACGTCCGCCTCCACCGGGATCCCGAGACCTCGGAACCGGCACCGGCTGCTGGAAGCCATGGATGATGGATGGAGTCCGTCTGAACCGCGCTGTGGGATTGTGGGTAATGTAGTTCCTCGTCACGTGCTTCCTCACAGCTGTTCTCTCAAGGATCGCGCACACACCATCCTGACCACCACAGTGTGGAAAATAAAAGTACAGTCTGGCAAGTAGTATTATCATCACAATATACTTTAGGCAGAACGACCACTTTTGGAATAGTGTTGTATCACTGGATTATAATGAGTGATACAGAAAGGGAAACACCATTTTAATTTTGCAGATGATAAAGATGGAGCTAACTTTAATTTAACTTAATTACTTTTTTAATGCCAGATCTCTTAATGCATTATAGTTCAGGTAAGTCCATTTTATTTTTGTATTAATATAATGAACCTGCAAAGTGAGTAACTTGTCAACTACATGTATTAAATGTGCCTTTAGCATAGGCAAAGGAAAACACAAATATTGTGATGTTTTTATTTATTATAAAAGATTCAAAGAGAGAGAGAGAGAGAGAGAGAGAGAGAGAGAGAGAGAGAGAGAGAGAGAGAGAGAGAGAGAGAGAGAGAGAGAGAGTAAATCACACATTAGATAATATTTGATAAAGCAGATTGTCTGGTGTTGTCGTCACAGTTCAATTCAGTCCGTAGAGATTAGGTGAGGTTTCCTCTCGTCTGCAGATCTCTGATCGCTGGATGGATTTATTCCACATCTGATTCACATTTGAGTTCACCTGGGTAAAACAAAAATCCCATAATTCCACATAATCCACCTCTTCCAGGAATGTGGCTACGATATCCTTCCAAAGGTTCCTGTGAACACGGAGAGAGATTAAGATTTATTTTCACATTTAAAGCAAAAGGTCAACATTTCTGAACCTGCCAAACGTATTACACTTGTATATTATGTATTACACTTACACACAGGGAGATATACAACTAAAGGCTGCACGCGTCTCAAACAAGCCTAATTTCTGCGTGAGAAATACAAGGTGTGGCGTGTGAGCGTGTGAATGGAGTGAAATGCGTGTGACTTGAGACTTGAGAGCTCTGCTGTGGACTTGTCATTGTTGAACAAAGCTGGTCCCCCTGTTTACAGTCTTTATGCTAAGCTAACCAGCCACTAACTGAAGCTTGCCATACAAACGAGAGTCTTGTTTCTGAAACTCTGCTACAAAATGGATGAACATATTTCCCATAATGCTCCTAACTGTCGGGGACATATTTTCCTAGGCCCATGCCTCTGACCCAGTTGATCAGTCTGCCCCATACNAAATACTTTTCTGCACGTACAAATCATGCAATCAAAATGTAGGCCTGACTCTGTCCAGACAACCTCGATAAAGTGGAGTGCACGCGTCTCAAACAAGCCTAATTTGTTTACAAAATTGCGGCGCAACTTGGTGGGCGGTACCCTGGAAAGAAATCTCTGGGTGAGAAAATTTCTGCGTGAGAAATAGGCCTACAAGGTGTGGCGTGTGAGCGTGTGAATGGAGTGAAATGCGTGAGACTTGAGAGCTCTGTTGTCATTGTTGAACAAAGCTGGTCCCCCTGTTTACAGTCTTTATGCTAAGCTAAGCTAACCAGCCACTATCTGAAGCTTGCCATACAAACGAGAGAGTCTTGTTTCTGAAACTCTGCTACAAAATGGATGAACATATTTCCCATAATGCTCCTAACTGTCGGGGACATATTTTCCTAGGCCCATGCCTCTGACCCAGTTGATCAGTCTGCCCCGTACTTGCCAACCCTCCCGTTTTTCGCGGGAGACTCCCGATTTCATTGCCCTCTCCCGGTTTCCTCCCGGGGTTATATTTCTCCCGATTATTGACAAAATCAGATTTACTCAGGACTGTTTCCACTCTGACTTTATTACAGCTACACCATTGTTTGGTTTCCATGGTAACACGTCTCTTTAGTAGCGCGCACAACTGAAAGTCTGAGAGGGTGAGGCAGACAGTCACAGTAAACAGAACAAGAATCGACAACTCGACCCTAGCTCACTCCTTTCCTGTGAAATGCAGGTCCAGCCACACATATGCTCCATGGTGCTACAGTTACACTTACAACTACAATAAGCATGTTAATGTTAATCTACAGCTCCGGCGATCCACTAGCACCCCCGCCGGTTTTGAAATGCTCCCGATTTCTGAGG